ATGCAGTCTACCAACTTATCTTCTTCGCAAGATCTTTTTTTAAAATCATTTAATAATATATCTTAAGCCTTTTCCAGTATTGACACATAATCTTCACATTGGTTTTTCCTCTGTTTTTCTTCAGCTGCAAATATCCCAGCCAATTTGATTCAGACATAATTAATGATTCCTTATCCCTTGAGCATTCTTGCTCATAGCCTTGAATCTTTGAGGTTGGGGCTTGGCAAAGCTGTAAATGAACAGAAGTGTGTTTTCTGGGCTCATCTGCATCGCTTCCGGATCTTCTTTCCTTTGCTAAATATGCAACATTAGAGTTTTCTTGTTCTATCCAGATCCTAAGCTGCCCTCTGAAATCATGTCTCCAATAAATCAGGGACTTTTAGAAAAGTAATGATAATAATAATATAAGTTCTATTTGTTCCTCAAGGTAAAAGCAATGCATGCGTATGTTTCTAATTCAGAAAATATAGAAAAGTAAAAGAAAATAAAAATCTGATATTTGCTGGGTATGGTGGTACATGCCTTGCAATCCTAGCACCCGAGGTTGAGATAGGAATACTGACATGAATTTGAGGCTAGCTTGGGCTACCTAGTGAACTCCAGGCCAGTCAAGGCTACATACAGAGACCCTGTCTCAAAGAAAAAAAATCTGCTATAATATTCCTACCCAGGCTCCTATGCCACAGTTTGACCCTATTTGTCTGTTCTAGGTCCCTGCCCTCCAGCCTGCTACCTTCTAAACTCATTTCAGAAGCTAACTTGTATTGCTTGAATGATACAGAATGAAAGAATTCCGGGAATATGATCTGAGGTCTTAGGCACTTGTTTAGTTAAAAACATGCAAAAACAAGTGCACTGTGCCTCACTTTGAGGGTGGGTGGGTTTAACCCACAGAGGAACCTGTAGCCTCATATAACTGGAATGCATGGAAGCAGGGAGAGCTGCAGGGCTGGTTTGATCTAATTATCAAAAATGTCATAAAGGAAATGATTTCTTTCTAAGCTCTGTCCTCTGTTTCCCACCACATTTCTTTCTTCTTAAGAACAGCTTTTCTTTCAGTCCAAATGGCTATCTTATCAGTATATTCTGGCACTTACTGCTGTCTAGCAGGAAATGGAAGTGTCTGATAAATTCCTGAGATTTCCTTTAGGTCAGTCTGGCTTCTCTGGCCAGTTTTGGGCCTACTTTTTGTGGCTTAGACTGGTGGATCTCGAACTCTGATCTCTGGATCTCTTTATACATCTAGCAATGAACTGAGGATGCCATGTTTTGTTTTGTTGTTATGACAGGAGCTCATATAGCCTAGGCTAGTCTGGAATTGGCTATGTATCAGAGGATGACCTTGAACTTCTGATCCTCTAGCCTGCACCTCCAGAATGTTGGGATTACAGTTCAGTGCCACCATTCTCAGTTGCTACCATTGTTTTAATTAGTCATCAGCAGTTTTCTTCATCTTTCTTTTGGATCATCTGTTAGATTGCATGATAGCTTTAACTTCAAGGATTCTCTGACAGGTTCTCAGGACCACTGGTTTACCTCAATCAGCACCCACTCATAGAACTAAGAGTGGGACAAACATATCTAAACAAGATATTGCAGCCCCAAAAGTGAGAAGAGTCAGGATACCCACAAAGCCTGTTATCAGATAAACCGAAGTAATAAGCATAAGGAAAAAGTGAATTAAGGAAAACTGTACTTACTGTCTTCGATTTATTAGTAGTCCTACCTCTATGCTAGTCAGGATCTAGAAGCTTCTCTGAGGCCAGCCACTGATTTGGAGAGAAATCAGTAAAGCTTTCAGATCTACTGGCTGATTCTAGTTATTTTCTGAGGATCTTTAGGGCAGGTCTCATCTTCCTTCCCGCACAAAGCCTGAGCCAGGGGAATGAGGTCATGAGTTCTCAAAACAGATGACCTTTGACAGGAGGCATGCCCATTCATTACCTTACTCTCCCTCTACCTTACTATGCCTAAAAGTCAGGGTGCTTATGGCTCCCACCAAAGCCATTACGCTAGTAATGATGGAGCTCTACACAAAGGGGTATGTGGGAGAGAAGCAGAAGAACGGAGGCAAGGAGTTGTAGGGATCATATGATCCCTACAGGCAGGCCCCAGGCTCGTTTCCAAAGAACAAGGGTGAGGGATTCAGCATTCTCCTGGCAGCTGTCACCACCCCAGACAGCTGCTGTTTGACTAGCCTTGGACAACACACTGGCTTTCAACTGTAACTGGACAACTTTTTCTTCCATTAGATCTTCTCCCAGAATGCTCCCAGTGTCCTCACCTTAGAATAATCCAATTTATTATTATTATTTTTTTTTAGAGAAATCAAAGCAGAATCCTTCCACCCTTTCCTTTCCAGTGTTTTCACTCTTGGTATTGATTACCCAGATACCAATTTTTTTCTAGCATCTTTGCCCCACCCTCCACCCAGGCAAAGCAAAAAGCAGAGGTGTCTCCAAACCAGTTGCACTGTGCCAATTGTTGCAAAAACAAGTGATAAGGCTCTTTGCTTATGCAAATGTTTTTGGCTCAGAGTCTAGGATTTTCCTCTTCAAAATGAGGCAGGTACTATTTGGTAGAAGACAGACACCATGAGCAATGGCACTAGGAGAAAGGGGTCCTAAAAGCCAGCCGAAGCCCTCTTCCTGTTTGTACAGTCTGATAAACTGTTGGAAAATCCTGACCCCAGTTTTCACAATAAAGCTTCGATTTTTTTTTTTTGTCTTTTTGAGACAGGATCTCCCTGTAGCCCCAGCTGTCCTGGAACTCACTATGTAGACCAGGCTGGCCTTGAACTCACAGAGATCCGCCTGCCTCTGCCTCCTGAGTGCTGGGTTAAAAGGCCTGTGTGACCACGCCGGGTTTTCTTTTCTTTTTTAAAAAATATTTTATTATTTTATGTGTGTGAGTGTTATCGCCTGCATGTAGGTAAGTACACCTGTGTCAAGCAATGCCCGTGGAGGTCAGAAGAGAGTGTTGGATCCCCTGGTACTGGAATTACAGACTGTTAAGTGCCATGTGGATGCTAGAACCCAACCAGGGTCTTCTGCAAGAGCAGCCAGTGCTCTTAACTGCTGGGCAATCTCTCCAGCTTTCAAAAAGCCTCAATTTTCTTTTTCTTTTCTTTTTTTCTTTTTGGTCTTTTTGAGACAGGGTCTCCCTGTAGCCCCAGCTGGCCTGGAACTCATTCTGTAGACCAGGTTGACCTTGAACTCACAGAGATCTGCTCACCTCTGCCTTCCAAGTGCTGGGATTAAATAGGTGCACCACCACACTCAACAGAAAAATCTTCAATTTTCTTTTCTGACACATAGCTATGAGCTCATTCATGGGACCCTGTGCAATCTCAAAAAGGAGCTAGAATGCAGTCATCAAGAAAACTGCAGCTTTAGCTCGGAAGTGGTGTCTCTTGGCAGGATACTCCTTCATGGTTAAATGTCCTTGAGGCTGGAGGCAGGCTGTCCCCCCATAACAAAAACAAAGGTACAGGCCATTTTCTCATATACATGTACTAACAAAGGGTCTGCATCCTCAGAAGACCTTGGCTTCGTTACATCATTTATATTGTGATTTTGATCCCCTTCTTGTGGGCTTTTTCTAGAGGAACATGAGAAGAAATACCCTGAAGACAGATCTAGTCCACCATGACTTGGAAGGGGGAAAAGGGTCCTCTTACCCTACGAATATGCCACCCATCTCATAAATAGTCACAAAATCTTTAAAATCCACAATCCATAACCCACCATGCAGGTACCAGGCTCTGGGACAGGCCACACCAATCTCTCTTTGGAGTATTTCCTATGCTTTGCTAAGTAAGTTTCTGCTTAAACTGTGTCTCCAGCTTGAATTCTTTCCTTGAGAAGACAAGACCCGAGAGACCTCCTTAATAGTATGGTAGGTGTATGGCCTGCATACTCTGTCTCCTTGAAAGGAAGTTGTGAAGTATGGCATTGGCTTCACCTGAGTCACAAATACTAACGCATAGGGCTGTCGCAGGCATATAACACACTAAGCTATGTCAAAGCAATAACAACAGTGCGTTAAGCTCCTTTAATCCCCACATTTTGAAATTTAGTGAATGTGCTTTTAAAAATTGTATGGCATATGTCTGATCCTGGCTCTGCCACTGAATACCCGCAAGGGTTTAAAAGTAACTCACTTTTTTCTTTTCTGGGCCTCAGTTCCTTTTTCCACTAGTTGGCTGGCTTGGATAATTAACAATATCATTTCTCCGATACATACAACATAAGTCCCTGCAAGTTCCACGACACATCCATCCAGTCTGTTCTGCACGCCTTGCGGGCCCCAAGGAACACAGGACCGGTAACTGAGGAGCAGAAGGCAGCTGGCGGATGAAGCACGTGACTACGTCAAGCCCCCTTCTTTCTCTGGCTCCGTGATTCCTAATTGGATGCGCAGCCAAGAAGCCCACAGCCAGTCCAGAGACACCTTTTGTTCCTTACTGCGCTTTCCACCAGTTGGAGGCCCGCCGCGGCGCTGGGGGTCCCAGGCAGCTGGGCACCGGCCGGCTGGACATGCCCAACTCCGGGTCGCAGCTTGTGGATGGGGCCTCGCGCACGGTGACTGGCCGCCCTGGTCCTCGTGACACGCGGCTCCGCCCCCAGGCCCTCCTCCGTATCCGCGCTGGGGAGCGGATGGTCCAGGGCTGAATGGGCGCGAGCGCGGCGCCTGGGGCGGGCTGGGGCGC